CTGATTCGCTCTTGCTTTGAGCGATGCTTGCAAGCGTTGCTGCAGCAGTAACAGTGCGAGTGATGGGATCAGCTAATTGGTTCTCTAGGAAGAATTCGAGTTCTCTAAAGATGATAGGAACAGGCTTACGTTATTCCTCCTTCTAGCGAGCAATATAGTTGATCCAGTCCTGCTTGGAATTGTCTTTCAAGCAGCGCACTGCATATTTCATCTTATTCGCTTCATTAATTAAGCAGCAGATATCGAAATAGTACTGCAGATTGTATAGGAATATCTTCAATTCTATATACGATCCCCTCTTGTATATAAGAGCTGGCAAGCTGCAATATAGCTATGCAGGCGCTATCGAGAGTGCTTCTGAAGAGATCGGTACAGGAGGGGTGCTGAGAGGGCTGAGGCCAGCTGGCCGGGGCTCCGAGCTGGTGTTGCTGCTTTGGAGTAGTATTAAGCGAGCACGCTTGCTCCTCAGCTGCTGCTGTATCTCCTCTTCTTCCAACTGATAATCGAGCTTGCATTTCTGGCATTGCAATCCAGCCATATCTGCTAGTATCTCGAGCGAGGAGTTCTCGTAGGCTGAGTCTGGATTCGAGCTTGGAAGGAGGATCTGAGAGGGGAGTTGGCTTAGGATCTGTAAGGGGTCGGAGTTGCTGGCTCGTTGTGGTTGTTGCTCTGGAGCAGCGCTGCTGCTTCGTATAACTGGAGCCATTCTCACTTCCGACGGCTCACTTCCCGGGAAAGGGTAGAAAGTTCAGACTTGTTAGGGTAAAAAGGGCATACAAGTGAGGTGAAGGGGTGTGAGCTGCTCCCAAGCTGCTCTGTTGATGCTTCCATTCAAAGGGACTACTGAACCTATCTCCCTTCTCCTCTTTTTCGCTGCTGGATCTGTTGTTCCCCTTTCTCTTATGTATACAATTGGCCTGGACTAGATGGGATGACAATGGCTTGATGGCCACGCGGCATCGTACGAGAGCGCTGCTTCGGAGCGAAGCCCTCGCAGCAGCCCTGGACCGCCACCAGGGGTCGCAAGGGCCACCTATTTCCTTTGTGCGCATACAAGCCCTGACAGAAGACTATATCTAGCAATCTAACAAGCTAATCCTCTTATATGCTATTAAACCAATAATATTTCTCAGCTGCTGCTTAATAAAAGCTGAAATGAACTACAGTCTCTCTAAGCAAGAAGTTGCATATCTAATCTGAGCAACGAAACGCTTGCACAAGCTGATTCAATCAAACCAAGTACAGCCTGTAGTTGTTCTTACAGATTACAATGCCATGCATAGCATCATTATCTAAACGCATCTTAATATCTTATTTACAAACTGTGCTAACTAATATCTTATTAATGCTTTTATCTATCTTAGCTAGTATTAGTTCAACATTTACTATCTAGCTGGAAAGCTCAATTATATTCCTGATGCTTTGTTAAGGCTGTCTGCAATAGAAAATGCAGAGGTGCAACGGAGCAATGAACCAGCTATTCTCGATATAGTAGTTAATGATCTACTCATAATCTTCCTTATCTTATTAAAAGCATAAATATCTGAGAATATGCAATAGCGCTTCTAGCAAGAATACAAGAAGAATACAGTTTATAAGAATATTATTACAGACTTAATAAAGATCAGTTCAGCTGGAAAGAAGCTTTCTATCTTAGTAAACAATAAGAATATTATCTCTGCTTCTAAGCTCAGCTACTCATTCCGCCTGAAGAATCAACTATTATATAACTACAATAATGATAGAAAAGAACGCCTTATTATTCTACAATCTCTGATGCAGAAACTTCTATGCAATGCATATAACAATAAGCATTACTTTAGCAGAGACTACATGATAGCTAAGTTGAATAGTCTTCACTTCAGAAAGAAGCAACTGCTTATCTCATAATATATTAATTACTGCTATAAGTATAGCGCTCAGAAGAAGCAAAACCAGAAGCTAGCAGATTTACTCCAACCGATTCAAGCTCTCTCTGAACCTATGCATACAATCTCCCTCAACTTCATCCTTGGATTGCTCTCAATCGAATCAACAAGCACCCTGTAGCAGATAAAAGGCTCCAAAGCTTACAACTCGCTAATGCTCATTACTTGCAAAACCTTCAAGAGAACTCTACTGATTCCAGGCTACTCAATCTATTCAGCTAAGCAATGGGAAGCTGTTCTGAGCAGACAGCTGCTGTTAAGCAACTGGGCATGCTCTCGAGCGATTATCTCTGACTGCAATGCTAAATTCATCTCAGATTACTGAACAGGCTTATGAAAGGCTTTTAGCATGCATTTACAGATAACTATAGCATACTATTCTCAGACTGATAGAGCAGCTGAATGAAAGAATTAGAATATCAAGCTAGCTATCAGATATTACGCTGCTAAATACTCTAACGAGATTTGAATAAACCTAATTCCCTCTTTGCAGTAAAATCTGAACAACTCATACCAACATTCTATTAATACAAGCTCTTACGAGTTTCTATTCAGATTTAAGATCCAGTTATTATCCAACCAATTAGTTAATATTACTAAACAACTATTCGAAATACGCTTTATGCATGAATATCTGCAAAAAGATATGCAACTAGCTATAAATATTGTTGCAGCAGACAACAAATATACATACAATGCTAAATACTAATACAAAGAATATAAGAAGAGCAATAAAGTCTAGCTAAAACTTAGCAAAGCATATAAGCTACTGCTATGCTAAGCTAATAAGATACAAGCTTTTCGTAAAAGCTCTTTTATAATTATCAGAAAAGTATTATCTTTAGCTTATAAACTTAACTTCAAAACTGATAATCATAATGCTAATATTCAAATACACTCAGTAATCAGCATTCAATACCTAAGTTGGTACAAGCTTACTAACAATCTCTTCAACTGCCAGCTACTTAAGCCTAGCTCAATTAAGCACAATAAAGATAGCAATAACTCAATTGAATCTAATAAGAACTACTACAAAGTCGATCGCATCATAGATAAGAAGATCAAGCAACAAGATAGCAAGAATACAGTACAATATCTAATACAATGAAAGAGATAATTCTTGCAGCACGATTGCTGAAAGGATTTGAGAAGCCTTAAGTGCCCTAGCCTTATCAAGGAATACAAACGCGCACACCCCAATAAGGCTACAGAAATCCTCGTGAAAGACAGCTCAGCTGACCCCGTAAAGAGAAAGCGCAGCCGGCCTTTCAAGAAACTATTGCCTAACAGCAATGAGGATAGAGAAGCCATGCCAGCACGGAGAAAGCAAGATCAGCCTGCCAAGAGCACAGCCTCCCCAGCTATCAACATTAACGCATCTGACAACGCGTCTGGAGGCCTTCCTGAGCCTGAAAAGGATGGAAAACAGAGCCCTGAGACCTCTCCTGGCCTCCGAAGAAGCGCGAGACTGACACGCGAACACGTGATCCCTAGATAGCTGCTGAGAACAGCAGGAACGTTTTTCCGTAGCCAGCACTTGTAGCAGTGGCCATAGGGGCCTTAGGTGAATGAGGCCTGGATAGCCACTCTGACTCACTGGCCTGAGCCATTCAATGGAAAGGCAGTGAGTCGCCAGGTACGCTAGCTCAGTTGGGACTAGTGCTAATTGCCTTCTATATAGAAGGCAATTAGCAAGCGTGCCTTGAGATAGATTAATTGAAGAATCATCTTTCCTTCTATCATTTGTACAGCCTCTAGAGTGCTTTCTACATTAATAATCTGATTTATTCTTTCTATTTGTTCATTTGTTTGTAAGTAAAATGCTGTAGATATTCTATAGTATATTCCGAGCTGTTTTATAAGTAAAGTTCAAAACTTTGAATTGAATTTTCTGTTTCTGTTAGAGATTATTTCTTCTGGTATGCTATGATTAGCAATAATTATTCTGAGAAATGTATATACGAATTTCTCTGCTGTATTACTTTTCTTATAAAGAAGAAAATAAGCATACTTGCTCAGTTTGCAAACTATTACTAAAATATTATTATATTGCATTTTAATTAAGGGTTCTTATAAGAAAGATAGCTTAGTAATAAAGTTTAGATTAATAAATTGCTAAACAGTTATAAGTATTGATAAGGAATATAGTAGTTTATAAGATTTATATCTTTCTATGTAATGAGCACTGCAGCAATCCGAAGATTCCTAAGTACATGAGGAGGTTTATGCTAACAAGAGCGGTATCAAAGTGTCAAGTCCTTGAATACGGAACCGTACAAGTCCTAATAAGCGATGCAAGTGTTCACTGCCTTTGGGGCTACTCAGTATATGAAACTGAATACTTAGATTGACAACTGAAGAGCTATATACTGAATCTATCTAATGGTAATGAACATGTTCTTATATATCCAGCTCTTCAGTACGGCTCGTTGGGATTGCTGGCGAGTCTAGCGATCCAAGGTATAAGGCTCGTTGGGATTGCTGGCGAGTTCAACAATCCTCCCTCCTTTACAACCCTAACTCTGGATTATGTAACCAATGCTTTGTCAGAATGTTGGATTCTTAATACCTGGTTCTTGTTACTCGTAACTTGTTTTTGTAACCTGCATGTTGAATAGGTCATAATATCATCTCCCTTCTATCAGTCGTTATTCCCAACAATCTTCTGTAAGTATCCTGGCAAGTCTTCGTATTCATGATCTTGCCTTCCTAATCGAGATGCTGAACAGAATCAACAAAGTTGCGAAACTGAAATCCTCGAATCCTCGCTCTAACAAAAAGAAGCAGAAAGATCTCCTTCTTCAGTTCATTCTTTCAAACGGTTTCGATATGCATCCCTGTTCTTATTGCGATAGTCGAGGTCTGCAATCGTGCATCGTTTCTCCTCACAATTCATCCCGTTGCTCAGAGTGCATTTCCCAGAATCGCGCTAAGTGCGACGTTCTGGAGCTGACGAATGCTGCTGAACTCCTTCTTACCTCTATTCAGCATCGAAAGCTGGAGAACGAGATAGAAGAGTTGGAGTTGAAGTTGCTTCGACTGCGTCAACAAAAGAAGATGTGGCGTAAGAGGATGTCTCGGGCTATTCGTCGAGGTCTTAAGAACCTCGAAGAGCTTGAGAAAGAGGAGGCTGAGGAGGCTGAAGCTGAGAGGGTTCGTGTTGCTGCCGAAGTGCAGGCTGTGGTGGCTGAGGAATCTGCTGTTGTAGCTGGAGATTCTTCTTTTGAGAGTTTTGACTGGAATTCTGTGGATCTGGGGAATTCTGTGGTAGATTGGTCTGGGTTTTTGAATGAGACGGTGGGCTCTGGGCCCCTCTCCGGGCCGGAGCGGTTGTCTTAGGTGCTGGCTTTCCTTTTCCAATATTCAGCTACTCTTTCTTGAGCGTTCTCAATGTTCTTCCGTGGTTCCCATGAGTTTTCGCTTGCTGAGTAGCCTTTCCATTTGATAAGGTATTCCCTTGTATTGTCTATGCTTCTATGCTTGAGAATCTTTTCTACTTCATATTCTAGTTCATTATTTTCCACTTCTGCTGTATTGTCTGTTAGTATTTCCTATGCTGCTGATTTCAGCAGTGAGATGTGAAAAACTGAGTATATCCTCATTCTATAAGATAATACTAACTCATAGTTAACTAGGGAAATCTGTTGCAAGATTTTGAATGGTCCCAACTTCTTATAATCGAGTTTGTTGCTAAGTCTGATTATTTTAATGTTTTTTCGAAATAGGTAGATCTTATCTCCCTCCTGTAGGATTGGTTCCTCAATTCTTTTGGAATTTGTATACTGCATTATTCGTTTCTGAACGAATTGTAATTCTGATCAGAGTTCCTTCTGAACTTTCTTAACCTTCTTAACCCTTTTATCCGCAGCTTCTGCATCTGCTTCTAGCAGTGCCTCGTAATAAGCTGTTGGATTGTATCTGTAGAGCGTGAAGAATGGTGATTTCTTCATTATACTTGTATCTGCGCTATTATAAGCGAACTGTGCAAGAGGCAACAGGTTAACTCAGTTATTCTGTTCCTAATTGATATAGTATCGAAGATACTGTTCGATAATCTGATTCATTCTTTCTATCTGTTCATCTATCTGCAGGTGAAATACTGTAAACATTCTGTGATATATTTCGAGCTGTTTTATGAGTAAAGTTCAAAATTTTGAATTAAACTTCCTATCTCTATTGGAGATCACTTCTTCTAGCGTGCTGTAGTTAGCGATGATCGTTCTGAGGAATGCATATGCAAGTTCCTCTGCTATACTGCTTTCCTTATAGGGAAGAAAATAAGCATACTTGCTCAGTCTGCAAATCACTACTAGAATGCTATTGTATTGCATCTTAGTTAAGGATTCTCATAAGAAAGGTAGCTTAGTAATAAAGTCTAGATTAATGGATTGCTAAACAGTTATAAGTACTAGTAAGGAGTGCAGTAGTTCGTAAGGCTTGTATCTCTCTGCCTTATTCTTCTTGCAGCTATTGCATTGTTATAGGATGCTCTCAATTCTTTTCCTAAGATCTGGTGGATTTTAGTATCTTTTGATGCATTCATAGATTGCTCTGACTTCCTGATACTCATATGCTGGTGCACTGTATACATTCTTGATATAGTTATCTTGTTTGTTTGGAATCATTGATTCCGGATCCCTTTCTGAGAGTTCGATTCTGAGGGCAGCATTCAGTTCTCTATATGCATTAACGAGGTTTCCCAACTCGTTTTGAGCAAAGATGTTCTGTATATCCGAGGAATTCGCATCTTGATAATCCAATCTCCTGCTAAGAGTGTCTGCTCATCCGTTTTCCGAGCTTTTGCAGTATACAATTTTGAAGTTGAACTATAAGAGGAATTCTGCTTATCTAACTTATTGCTTGTTCAAAATCTTGATTGTTATGAATGTAGTTAGATTCTTGTAATCCGAATGAACTAAGATCGGGTATTGTATGCTAATAAGATAGTATTGCTACTTCTCAAAAGCCTTCACTATTGCTATAAGTTCCTGATCAGGGATTCTGTAGTTGATTTCCGGGTTATTCAACTTCTTTGAGAAGTTGCTTACAATCCTTAGACATTCTTGGTCATCTTGCTGACCAAGTTGTTCTCCGAGTGCATATCCTGATGCATCGGTTTCAACTTCAAAGGGTTTGTAAGAGTCTGCTTTGCACAGAATTGGTTCTGAGGTGATATGTCTGATGATCTTATTGAAGGCTTCTTATGCTTTGGAGGTTCATTCGAAGAGTTGCTTCTTCTTAGTAAGATTTGTAAGAGAATGTGCGATCCAGCTGTAGTTCTTAATAAACTGCCTGTAGAAGTTAACATATTCGAGGAAAGATTTAACATTTCTGATATTTCTGAGGACTAGCCAATTCCTGATAGCTTCTACTTTGTCTTTCTGTAGCTTAATGCATTCTAGCTTGATTGTGAATCCGAGGTAGTCGACTTTTTGTACGTAAAAGTAACTCTTTGCAGATTCTACAAGGAGTTTTGCATTCTGAAGCATTTGCAACACTGTTTCCACATATTTCTTGTATTCTTCTAATGTTCGAGAGTAAATAAGAATATCATTGAGATAGGCAATAATGAACTGATTCAGATGCTTGCATAGAATGTAATTGATCATTTCTTGGAATGAAGCTGGGGCATTCGTTAAACTAAAGAGCATAACCAAATATTCGTAGTATTCATAGCATATTCTGAAAGCGGTTTTCCATTCTTCTTCTTCCTTTACTCTAATTAGGTTATAAGCTTCTTTTAGATCCAGAATTGTGAACCACTATGCTCCTTGCAATCTATCTCATAGTTCCTTAATAAGTAGCAACGGATATTGGTTTTTGATTGTGATGTTATTAAGTTGCTTATAGTCAATGCATAGCTTGAGCTTGCTGTTTTTCTTAGATACAAACAGAATGGAGTATCCTGCTAGTAATTGCAATAATCATATGTATTCTTTCTTAAGGTTTTCGTTGAGGTACTCCTGAAGTGCCTCTAGCTGTGCCTTGTCTAGTCCGTAGATAGGGAAGAATTTGGGCTGTTTCCCTTCTTGTAGCGGGATCTTGTAGTTGTATGGGCTGTATTCTGGTAATTCTGTATCCAATTCTTCCTGGAATAGTTTCTTGAACTTGTAGTATTCTTGTAGTATGTTTGCGAGTATTGGTTCTGGTTCTTATGCTGTTTCTGCTACCTGGAGAAACAGTAGATACTGTTAAGCATGCTTCTTTTCTGATAGCGTTTTTGAGAGCCTTGAGCGTTCGCTTCAAGCTGAATCGAGCGCTCGAGAGCCTGGTTTCGAGGTTTTTCCTGTGTGGTTCTACAATCCACATTCTGAAGCTTTTCCTTGTTGCTCTGGAGCGGACCGACTTGCTGAGAGTCTTGCTTCCGTTATTTTGCTAACCTGTTGGTGCTCTGGCACTATTTGGGTTTGCTTGTTACTAGGTTCTTCTCCTTGAACTGCTAGCTTTGCTAACTTAGAAGTGTGTATGAAGTTGTCTGAAGCTTCTTTTTCCGAGTGTTCTTTAATAACTAGCTTCGATTCTGCATCGTTGATTATAATTATCTCTCTGGGTACAGCTTGTTCTTATGAGATCTGGCTAGTAGTCCAATTGATTCGAGGATTGTGCTTCTTGAGCTATGAAAGCTCTATAATCAGCTTATGCTGTGCTGTATTCATAATATCAAAGGAAGCTCTGATTATACATTCTTGGATCAAGATAGATAGATGATCAGTTTTCTTATTGATTATTCCTTGGTTGTATGCAATAGGTTGTTCTTCTATAGTGCTGAGAGTATATGAGCATCTCTTCCATTTCCATTATAGTTATGCCTGATTGATGATGTATGGAGATATAAAGTTTCCCTGAGCGCTGCTATTCAATAGTGCGCTGTACTTGTATTTCTGAATGTATATATTGAACTTGATATGAGCGTAATCTGTTCTAGAAGCTTCATATAGGAACTGTTCCGGTTTGATCGTCTGCAGTTCCTTTATAAGCGATCCTGTTCTTTTGAGTTCGTTAAGAACTGTTTGTTCTTTTGAGCCTGCTTTGCTGCTTCTTAAGCGAGTTTCTTAGCTTGCTTTTGTTCGTATCATCGTTATTTCTAGTTTTTCTTCTGTTAATGCTAGTTGCAAATCTTGTTATTGATGTGAATTGTACAGAGTATCATTTTGCACTGCTATCATTTTATTTTCTTGTTTATGCATTGCATGGGGCAGTTATCTGGTAGTCCGATGTATGCGTTGTGGTGTTGCTTGTTGAGAATCTTTCTGAAGCGGAGTTTCTGTTTTTCAACGGCCTGAAGGATTTGTTCTGGTTTTCTGACGGGGAACTATTCGTGTTGTACTTTGTTCGAAAAATGCGTTCTGCAGCTATGATAGATGCAGGAGATCCAAGCTAATTTGTGGTGTAGGTTGTGAAGTAAGCTGATCCGAGGGTTTTCATCTTCTTGTGCTTTGATGTTCTGCAAGGGAATGCAGGTGAAGAGCTCTTCCAGCCCTATTCCGTAGATGAGATATTTGATCTATGTTATTTCCTTGTTCCACCCAATGCTGAAGGGAAATCTTCCTTTAGGCTTGTTGAGCATGTTGTTTGCGGGGAACTCTGGTAAACTGTTGGATTGCTCGTTCTGGCTTGATCTTTCTATTGCTTGAGAAGCGTTTTCGGTATTGTTTAGATATTCATACTAATAATCAAGAGGGTATCATCCCTTGTTTATATCCCTAGTTATAGTGCTTGGTGTAGATGATGAGGAATGATGAAGGGTATTATTGCTAAGCCCTTCTTTCAGCGCTTGAATGCTCTGTTCCATGATATCAGAGCAATCCGAGTTGCTACTCGTGAGGGTGCTGAGCGTGCATTCTCGTTCTGCTGTTGCTATTTGTCTGCAGTGCTTAGATTTCTAAGGGAATCATTCTGAATCTTCCTTACTTGAGAGGTGTGTTAAGCAGTTGTTATTATAGCAGAATGTTCAGCTGAGACTTCTGTAATCGATAGGATCCGATACTTGCTCCGAGGGGGTATTTTTGCTCAGTTGATTGGATTCCTGTTATTAAGCAATATTCATCTGGCATTCTTTCTGAACTAGTTGCTATTTATTCTTCCGGGGTTGATAGCAGTTGCATGCAATGTATTCTTGTTTGTTGCAGTTATAGCAAGTAATACTATTCTTCTTGCTATACTGCTTGTTAGCTGCATCGAGTTCTATGGAACTGGCATGCATAGTGCTGCTTTGAGCTGTATTGCTATATTAACTGCTATTCTTGTTTTGAAGTTTCTTGCTTATATTAGCTGGAAATCTCCAAGTCTAGCTTCCTTCCTTTTTGAACTTCTCCAACTGTTGCTCGTACAGATGGTTGTTGATGCGGATTGCTTGGTTAGAGAATATCGCAAAGTTCTCTGGCTAATCCTGTTTGAAGATTTCATTCTTAACATCATTCTTAAGCCCCTTATAATAGTATTCCATAAGATTCTTGTCTTCCTACGGAAGTCTTGCTGAGAGCTGCTTGAATCTGACTGTATAGGCAGAAGCTGATTTGATCTGCTTGAGGTTCATGAGCTGCTGAGCTGTAGTGCATTCTTCATTGGGATTACTAAAGGTCTCTTTGAGAGCCTTCTCGAAGCTCTCAAAGAAATCGAATATGTTCTTGATACTCTGGGTACGTGTATCGGAGTTGCTCTGATGCTTCAAGTGATTGTGCAGAGAAGGTTTATATTAGATAAGAGCATCTTTCTCGAGATGAGTTCCTGCAAGAATAATCTTTTCAGACTCCATAGTAAACTGAGTTGCATGATGCAAGAAATACGCTCTGCAGTGGGTAAGGAATCCATGCAGCGTTTTCTGGTTGCTGTTATATATAGCAGGCTTGTTCATCTTGTATGCCTTTCCAGCGCCACTGGTGATTGCAGAGGTGAACTGCGCCTGCTGGGCCTGTTGAGCTAGCTAAGCCTGTTAAGCTAGCTGAGCCTGTTGGTTGGCGATGGTAGCGCTCTAAGCCTGCTGTTGCTTGCGCAGGTCCTGAATACGCTGAGTAAGCTGGTATATCTGGTTGACCAGTTCTTCCTGAGTAGGAGCGCGCGAGGACGAAGGGGTTCCTGGAGGAGCTATCGTATTCCGTATTGCTCAAGGAGTAACACTGAACCGTTCTTGAATAAGAGTTATCAAAATGTAATGAGCACTGTAGCAATCCGAAGATTTCTAAGTATACGAGGAGGTTTATGCTAACAAGAGCAGTATCAAAGTATCAAGTTCTTGAATACGGAACTGTACAAGTCCTAATAAGCAATGCAAGTGTTTACTGCCTTTGGAGCTACTCAGTATATGAAACTGAATACTTAGATTAACAACTGAAGAGCTATGTACTGAATCCATCTAATGATAATGAATGTGTTCTTATATATTCAGCTCTTCAGTATAGCTTGTTGGGATTGCTGGCGAGTTCAGCGATCCAAGGTGTAAGGCTCGTTGGGATTGCTGGCGAGTTTAACGATCCTCCCTCCTTTACAACCCTAACCCTGGGTTATGTAACCAATGCTTTGTTAGAACGTTGGGTTCTTAACACCTGGTCCTTGTTACTCGTGACTTGTTTTCGTGACCTGCATGTTGAATGGGTTATAACATTCTACTTTATTCTTCTTGCAGCTTGTTATGACCCATCCGACATGCAGGTCACGGAACAGGCTTCACTAACAAGGAACCAGGTGTCACAACTCAACATCGGGCAAACAACACAAGGATTACGTAACCTAGAGTTAGGGTTACAGGTTACAACCAATCAGGAAGGGATCGGAGCAGTTGACAATCGGTCCTCACAGTTCAGGCAGTGAACTGTAACAATCAACCACTAATTCTTACAGTTCATACTAAAGAGCTGAATATATAAGAATACGTTCATTACTATTAGATAGATCCAGTATATAGCTCTTCAGTTATTAATCTAAGTATTTAGTTTCATATACTAAGTAGCTTCAAAGACAGTAAATACTTGCATTGCTTATTAGAACTTGTATGATTCCGTATTCAAGAACTTAATACTTTGATACTATTCTTGTTAGCATAAACTCCTTTGTATACTTAGGAATCTTCGGATTGCTGCAATGCTCATTATATTTTGATAATTCTTGTTCAAGAATAGTTCAGTATTATTCCTTTGAGTAATACGGAATATGATAGCTTCTTCAGAAATCCCTTTGTTCTTGTATGCTCCTACTTAGAAAGAACTGATTAATCAGATATACCAGCTTATCTAGCATATTCAGAATCTGTATAAACAACAGCAGGCTTAGAGCACTACCATTGCTAATCAGCAAGCTTAGCTAGCTTAATAAGCTTAGCAGATGCAGTTCATCTCTGCAGTTACTAATAGTACTGGAAAAGTATATAAGATGAACAAGCTTGCTATATATAATGATAATCAGAAGATGCTATATGAATTCCTTATTTACTGCAGAGCATACTTTTTGTATTATGCAATCCAGTTTACTATGGAATCTGAGAAGATTATTCTTGTAGGAATTCGCTTCAAAAAGAATGCTTTCATTTAGTACAAGCTTTCTCTGCATAATCACTTAAAGCATTAGAATGATTCTAGCATGCATACTTAGAGTACTAAGAATATATTCGATTCTTTTGAAAGCTTTGAGAAAGCTTTCAAGGAAATCTTTGGTAATCCTAATAAAGAATATATTACAGCTTAGCAGCTTATAAATCTCAAGCAGACTAAATTAGCTTCTGCTTATATAGTTAAATTTAAGCAACTCTTAGTACAATTCCTGTAGGAAGATAAGAATCTTATAAAGCACTATTATAAGGGATTCAAGAACAATATTAAAGATGAAATCTTCAAGCAGAATTAGCTGGAGAACTTCGTAACGTTCTCCAATCAAGCTATTCGCATCGATAATCGTCTGTATGAATAACGGATGGAGAAGTCCAAGAAGGAAGGAAGCTAGATTTGGAGATTTCCAGCTAATACAAGCAAGAAATTCCAAAACAAGAATAGCAGTTGATATAGCAGTATAGCTCAGAGCAGCACTATATATGCTGGTTCTATGGAACTTAATGCAGCTAACAGGCAGTATAGCAAGAAGAATAGTATTACTTGCTATAATTGCAATAAATAAGAATACATTGCATACAACTGCTATTAATTCCGGAAGAACAAATAGCAACTAGTTCAGAAAGGATATTAGGTGAATGTTGCTTGATGATAGGAACTCAATCAACTAAGCAATACTCTCTTGGAGCAAGTATCGAATTCTATTGATTACAGAAGTCTCAGCTGAATATTCTGCTATGATAATAACTGCTTAATATATCTCTTGAGTAAGGAAGATTCAGGATGATTCCCTTAGAAATCTAAGCGCTGTAGATAAATAGCAACAGCAGAACGAGAATGCACGCTTGTCAGGTGGAAAGGTTGCAAAGGCAATGTGGCGAGGTCTTTTCTCTCTTTCAGGGGTATACAACCAGAATAACATTGAGGCCTAAGGAGCTAAGTTCTGCTCAGCAGTGCTGACGTGGCTAGAAAGCCGCTTTATAGCCGCATATTGCTTAGTCATCCGTAATCCAGCTGGCTTAGCTGGCTCTGAGCCTTGCTGGCACAATCGGCCCTGACAGATTGTCCCCCCTTATCAGGCCTTGTCCTCAAGGCCTTTGAGGCTTCCGAGCTTTCGTTGCTTCCAGGCTTCCGTTGCTCCCAGGCTTCCGTTGCTTCCAGGCTTTCGCTGCTTCCTAGCTGCTCCTACGCCTTCTCAATGCTTCAAGCTCTTAAGATCTCTCAGTGCTTCAGGCTTCTCAAAGCTTCTCAAGATCCCTCAGTGCCTCAGATTTCTCAAAGCCTCTCAAGATCTCTCAGTGCTTCAGGCCTCTCAAGGCCTCTCAAGATCTCTCAGTGCCTCAGGTTTCTCAAAGCCTCTCAAGATCTCTCAGTGCTTCAGGCCTCTCAAGGCCTCTCAAGGTCTCTCAGTGCCTCAGGCCTCTCAAGGCCTCTCAAGGTCTCTCAGTGCCTCAGGCCTCTCAAGGCTTCTCAAGATCTCTCAGTGCCTCAGGCTTCTAGGCCACTCAAGGTCTCTCAAGATCTCTCAGTGCCTCAGGCCTCTCAAGGCCTCTCAAGGTCTCTCAGTGCCTCAGGCCTCTCAAGGCCTCTCAAGATCTCTCAGTGCCTCAGGCTTCTAGGCCACTCAAGGTCTCTCAAGATCTCTCAGTGCCTCAGGCCTCTCAAGATCTCTCAGTGCCTCAGGTTTCTCAAAGCCTCTCAAGATCTCTCAGTGCCTCAGGTTCCTCAAGGCCTCTCAAGGTCTCTCAGTGCCTCAGGCCTCTCCACCATCTCCCTCCTTCTCTTCTGGCTTCGTCCCCGAAGCCTGTGAAAAAAAAAAATCTCTTTTTAATCACATTCCAGACGTAAGTCTTCCGAGTGCAATACCCGCGCCATATACGCTGCTCAGTCGCTGCTTCCTCAGCGCTTTATCCAGGCACTCTTCAGAACTTAAAGCTGTTTGATGTAGGTTGCAAGCCTTCCACCAGGGACTTGGTTTGCAGCCAAGGAGCCCAGCATCCAGGACAGCGTCCCTGCAGCTATAACGGATAATTACAGCTTTCCGTCTTGAGAGTTGCTCTCTAGCAACTCTGAAGCTGTTGCTACGCTTCGCTCCACCGCTAAGCACAGAAGGATAATTGGTTCACAACCTAATACCCAAGCAACTTCAGTTGCCAAGCAGACACTCCGCTTCAGCTCTGCGCTCTCGCTCAAATAGCGAAAAGCACACTCTCGAAAACAGAAAATACTCAGATCTACTGCTTGCTCACTCTGCTCTCTCGCTCGAATAGCGAAGAATACACTCTCGAAAACAGAAGATACTCAGATCTACTGCTTGCTCACTCTGCTCTCTCGCTCGAATAGCGAAGAACACACTCTCGAAAACAGAAGATACTCAGATCTACTGCTTACTCACTCTGCTCTCTCGCTCGAATAGCGAAGAACACACTCTCGAAAACAGAAGATACTCAGATCTACTGCTTGCTCACTCTGCTCTCTCGCTCGAATAGCGAAGAACACACTCTCGAAAACAGAAGATACTCAGATCTACTGCTTGCTCACTCTGCTCTCTCGCTCGAATAGCGAAGAACATACTTTGTTCTAGCTTAGCAACTCGAATGCTCTGAATCTCTTCTGAACGCTTCTCGCACGCTGCTTGCATACTGCTTGCTCGCTGTTTGCTCTAGCTTAGCGACTCGAATGCTCTGAATCTCTTCTGAACGCTTCTTGCACGCTGCTTGCATACTGCTTGCTTGCTGTTTGCTCTAGCTTAGCGACTCGAATGCTCTGAATCTCTTCTGAATGCTTCTCGCACGCTGCTTGCATACTGCTTGCTCGATACTGCTTGCTCGCTGTATGCTCTAGCTTAGCAACTCGAATGCTCTGAATCTCTTCTGAACGCTTCTCGCACGCTGCTTGCATACTGCTTGCTCGACACTGCTTGCTCGCTGTATGCTCTAGCTTAGCGACTCGAATGCTCTGAATCTCTTCTGAACGCTTCTCGCACGCTGCTTGCATACTGCTTGCTCGCTGTTTGCTCTAGCTTAGCGACTCGAATGCTCTGAATCTCTTCTGAACGCTTCTTGCACGCTGCTTGCATACTGCTTGCTTGCTGTTTGCTCTAGCTTAGCGACTCGAATGCTCTGAATCTCTTCTGAACGCTTCTCGCACGCTGCTTGCATACTGCTTGCTCGACACTGCTTGCTCGTGCTTGCTCGACACTGCTTGCTCGCTGTATTCAAGGCTCGAAAGCTCGAAAATCGAAGGCTCGAAGGTCAAAGGCTCGAAGGTTAAAAGCTCGAAGATCAAAAGCTCGAAGGTCAAAGGCTCGAAGGTCAAAGGCTCGAAGGTCAAAGGCTTGAAGGTTCGAAAAGGATAGTGGTCTGATCGTTTGCTCTGCTCCTGCTCAGTGTTAGCGCTGCTCCTAGGGAAAAAAAAGATAGAAAGCCTCGCCGGATTGCTTCCTTTAAAAGGGCCAGGCCTCAAACTGTCAGGTGGAAAGGTTGCAAAGGCAATGTGGCGAGGTCTTTTCTCTCTTTCAGGGGTATACAACCAGAATAACATTGAGGCCTAAGGAGCTAAGTTCTGCTCAGCAGTGCTGACGTGGCTAGAAAGCCGCTTTATAGCCGCATATTGCTTAGTCATCCGTAATCCAGCTGGCTTAGCTGGCTCTGAGCCTTGCTGGCACAATCGGCCCTGACAACGCTCAGCACCCTTATGAGTAGCAACTCGGATTGCTCTGATGTTGTGGAATAGAGTATTCAAGCATTGGAAGAAGAGCTTAATAATAATACCCTTCAACATTCTTCATTGCTTATACCAAGCATTATAACCAGGAACATGAATAAAGAATGATACTCTCTTAGCTACTAATATGAACATCTAGATAACACAGAGAATGCTTCTCAAGCAACAGAAGGATTAAGCTAGAGCAAACAACCTAGCAGCTTGCAAAAGCTCCCTGCGAATAACATGCTTAACAAGCTTAAAAGAAGGTTTCTCTTTGGTATTGGATGGAATAAGGAAATAATATGAATCGAATATCTTATTTACGAAATAAAGCTGAAAAAGCTTTTTATCTGCATCCTCTTGCAGAACATCGAAGTATGAGGAAATAAGGATTCTCGGATCAGTCTACTTCACAATCTATATCACGAATTAGCTTGAATCTCCTGCACTTATTATAGCTGCAGAATGCATTTCTCAGATAAGATGCAATACGAATAGTTCTTCATTAGAGAATCAGAACAAATCCTTCAGGCTGTTGAAGAACAGAAACTTTGTTTCAGAGAGATTCTCAACAGATAGCATTACAACGTATATATTAGACTACTAGATAACTGCTCTATACAATATATAAACAAGAAAATAAAATAATAGCAGTATAAAACGATATTCTGCATAATTTACATTAATAATAAGATTTGCAACTAGCATTGATAAAAGAAAAACTAGGAATAATAATGATATAAGCAAAAACAAGCTAAGAAGCTTGCTTAAGAAGCAGCGAAGCAGGCTTAGAAGGACAAGCAGCTTTCAATAAATTCAAAAGAATAGGATTGCTTGTAAAGAAACTGCAGATGATTAAACTAAAACAGTCTCTATATGAAGCTATTAGAACAAACTATGCTTATATTAAGTTCGATATATATATTCAAGAATACAAGTATAGTGCACTATTGAACAGTAGCGCTTAGGGAAACTTTATATTTCCATACATTATTAATTAGATATAATTATAATGGAAATGAAAGAAGCGCTTATATACTCTCAGCACTATAAAAGAACAATCTGTTGTATACAACCAAGAAGTAATTAATAAGGAGACTGATTATTTATCTATTTTGATTCAAGAATATATAATTAGAGCTTCTTTTAACATTACGAATACAGTATAGCATGAGCTGATTATAGAGCTTCCATAGCTTAAGAAGCATAATCCTCGAATTAATTGAATTACTAGCTAGATCTTATGAGAACAAGCTATATCCAGAGAAATAGTTACAATCAATAGTGCAGGATTGAAGCTAGTAATTGAAGAATACTCAGGAAAAGAAGCTTTATACAACTTCATACATACTTTTAAATCAGTAAAGCTAGCAGTTTAAGGAGAAGAATCTAGTAATAAGCAAACTCAAACAGTGTTAGAGCGCTAATAGATTAGCAAAACAATGGAAGCGAGATTCTCAGTAAGTTGGTTTGCTCTGAAGCGATAAGGAAAAGCTTTAGAAAGTGAGTTGTAGATTTATACAGAAAAAACCTTGAAACTAAGCTCTCGAGCGCTCGGTCCAGCTTGGAGCGAACGCTCAAAGCCTTCGAAAACGCTATCAGAAAAGAAGCATGCTCAACAGTACTTATTGTTCCTTCAGGTAGCAGAAATAGCATAAGAACTAGAATCAATACTTGCGAATATATCACGAGAATATTACAAGTTTAAGAAACTGTTTCAGGAAGAATTGAATACGGAATTGCTAGAATATAGTTCATATAATCATAAGATTCTGCTATAAGAAGGGAAATAGCTCAAATTCTTTCCTATCTACAGATTAGATAAAGTATAACTAGAGGCACTTCGGGAGTATCTTGATGAGAATCTTAAGAAGGAATATATATGATTATTGTAATTATTAGCAGGATATCCTATTCTGTTTATACTCAAAAAGAATAGCAAGCTTAAGCTATGTATTGATTACAAGCAACTTAATAATATTACGATTAAGAATCAGTATTCATTGCTATTTATTAAGGAATTACGAGATAAGCTGCAAGGAGCATAATGGTTTACAGTTTTAGATTTAAAAGAAGCTTATAATTTGATTAGAGTAAAAGAAGAAGAAGAATGAAAAACTGCTTTCAGAATACGCTACAGATATTACGAATATTTGGTTATGCTCTTTGATTTAACAAACGTCCTAGCTTCGTTTCAGAAAATGATTAATCACGTTCTATACAAGCATCTGAATCAATTCGTTATTATTTATCTCGATGATATTCTTATCTATTCTCGAATACTTGAAGAATATAAGAAATATGTGAAAACAGTATTGCAAATGCTTTAAGATGCAAAACTCCTTGTGGAATCTGCAAAGAATCACTTTCATGTATAAAAGGTTAACTACTTCAGATTTACAATTAAGCTAGAATGCATTAAGTTACAGAAGAACAAGATAGAAGCTGTTAGGAATTAGCCAGTTTCTAGGAATGTTAGGAATATTAGATCTTTTCTCGAATATGTTAACTTCTATAAGCAGTTTATTAGAAATTACAGCTGAATTGTACATCCCTTTACAAATCTCACTAAAAAGAAGCACTTCTTCGAATAAACTCCTAAGGCATAAGAAGCTTTTGATGAGATTATTAAGTATATTACTTTAGAATCAGTTCTGTATAAAGCAGATCTCTATAAATTCTTTGAAGTTGAAACTAATACATTAAAATATGCACTCGGAGAATAACTTAGCTAACGAGATAATCAAGAATGTTTAAGAATTATAAGCAACTTCTTAAAGAAGTTAAACAGCTCAGAAGTTAACTATGAAATCTCTGATTAGGAACTTATAGCAATAGTAAAAGTCTTTGAAAAGTAGCAATACTATCTTATTAGCGTATAATACCCGATTATAGTTTATTCGGATTATAAGAATCTGATTACATTTATAATAACTAAGGTTTTGAATAAGCAATAAGTTAGATGAGTAGAATTTCTTTTACAGTTCGATTTCAAGATTGTATACTGCAAAAGCTTGAAGAACGAGCGAGTAGATGCTCTTAGCAGAAGATTAGACTATTGAGATGCAGATTCTTCGAATATATAGAATATCTTTGTTTAAGATGAATCAGGAAATCTCGTTAATGTATACAGGGAACTGAATGCTGCTCTTAGGATAGAACTTTTGGAAAAGAATCCAGAATCAATGATTTCAGATAAATAAGATAATTATATCAAGAGTGTATATAGTGCGCCTGTATATGAATATCAGAGAATTAAAGCAATCTATGAATGCATTAAAAGATACTGGAATCTATTAGGTTTTAGGAAAAGAATTGAGAGCATTTTATAATAATACAATAGCTGCAAGAAGAATAAGGCAGAAAGATACAAGCTTTATAGATTATTGCATTCCTTACTAATATTTACAACTGTTTAGCAATTCATTAGTCTAAACTTTATTACTAAGCTATTTTTCTTACAAGAATTCTTAACTAAGATGCAATATAATAGTATTCT